TGTTACAGCACTGACAGGCAGCAGCAGTGTATATTTTAGCTACCTGTTAGCTGCTAGCTAGCTTACTTTACAATTGGAGGCTGTTTCCTTACACAGTTACAGAATGGTAAATTGATAATGATGGATAACGTTACCACAGCTAACTAACACAAAAATACTGTTTTCATTAACGTTAATATAGCTAGTAAACCTTTAAACGTTAGAGCACTGACAGCCCGTGTTGTATATTTTAGCTACTGTGGCTAAAGTTGCTGCAATGATGGATAACGTTACCACAGCTAACAAACACATAAATACTGTTTTTATTAACCTTATCTTGCGCTATATTTAGTAATATAACCTCTATAAATAAAGGTTGAAGGAATGAAATTCCATTAAGTTTCCAGACAGGTCTTCCGAGGAAGAATAGACCCGGAAGTAATGATCCACAGCATTGAGTCAAAAAGGAAGTTGTCTGACGTCATTTGAAAAGGGCCTATAAAGGTTGAATGGATGATTCATTAAACAGGGGCGGAAGACTCCACGTTCAACTGCCTCCCTCTTACAATTCTACTGCTAGTATCACTCAGCCCTCTTTGAATAGCAAGCAGCCATCAGAGCACTAATGATCAATTGTTAGGCTGATTGTTTTCCTTTTATATGTGAACAGCTATTTCTGGATGTCAACAACAAACGGGTTGATCCACTGTGAGAAGATGCTATTTATAAAACTGAGTTTGGTGCAGCTCCTCAGAATGAAGAAGTCTTTTGGATAAAGGTCAACATGTTTCAACAAGAAGAATCCATCCAGAGGACCTGACATTACTTTGTTAGACCTCTGCAAACAGTTTAGCAAGTGGCAGCGCCTCTGGTCTCCAATCTTTCAGGGACAATTGTAATGTAATTCCAGATTTTTATTGCTCACTATTCGTGCCTGTGGTGGCTTATATTGTGTTCAAGTCACTAAAGCTTGTCTACAGCGCAGACTACCCATATACCTGAGCCCAGGTTTATGGACCCTTTTCATCATTATTATATGCCAATAAACAACTAGTCATACTTCTCTCCATGGCAGAAAAACTCAGTGCAAGCTATTTTATTGTCCATTCTTGTGTTTAGAGTGATGTACTGGGTAGGATTCATTCTGCACAATTCTTTGAAATCAATGCCAGTATCTTATTTTTAATATAATATACAGTAAGAAATAACTCATAGATTTTCAAACATGTTTCTGTTGATTTTGTTTGGCTCAGATGTTGAACATCTTCAATGGTCCCAGATGCTGAAAGATGCACATATGGCAATTGGTGCCAATTTACAATGGGAATGTAAAGCCATTGGTAAGCCTCAACCATCTTATCGATGGTTAAAGAATGGTCATCCACTACCAACAGAGGTAAGAAACTATGAACTTTATCTATATTATGAAACATAATAGATACATTTTCTACCGAAATAAAGCATGAGAAAATAGAACTCCACTGAAATAATTATCTGTTATTTGCAGGGGAAAGTTCATATTGAAGCAGGGAGACTTATCATATCCAAGATCAGTTTATCAGACTCAGGGATGTATCAGTGCGTGGCAGAAAATGAATATGGATCTATCTATGCAAGCGCAGAGCTAAAGGTTGTAGGTAGGTTGTTTTGCGTTGATCGAAACTAAAGCAGAACCATTGACACACCATCTATACATTCAATAACTAGTGGATTGAAAATGCCTCCTGCCTGAAAATGAAAAAAAAAAAAAAAACTCCATGAATTAGATTGAAATTCTCTTGATAAAGTTTTGTCAGGGGTCCTTTCATTTCCATAACTACTTCCAATAACAAGCCTGTCTGGTGTTGAATTAGAATTTCTGTAATTGCTGGTGATGCACTTGACGTTTGGCTGATGCACTACTGTTGCCACTCCACAAACCAAGACCAATGGCTTCAACATAGGTCTCTTTCTCAGCTTCACCGCCCGACTTTACTCAGCGGCCTGTGAAGAAGTCCACAGTGATCCAGAGAGGGGGGGAGGTGGTGTTAGAATGTCGGCCCAACGCTTCACCCAGGGCCGTGATTTCCTGGTGGCGAGGGGGAAAACTCCTGAAAGACAGTGAGAGGTAGGTTAAAGTAATCTCTGTTGCACAACAAACTCACAGGGTACATTACTTAAACTCATTTGACAGAGTATTTTAAACAGAACACTTTCTTTTTTCATACAGAGACTTTATTCACCACTTAGACTTACTGATGCCAGTATTCAGTTAGCATATTGTCTATTAAAATATATATTTTATAGCTCTCTGAATCTTATCAGCATCACAATGCACAAGAAAGAAAACACAGTTCTGTTCATATCCTGATGCATGCTCAATAATCCAGGTAGAAAAATCTAAAAAAGTTAAATCTGGTCCTCTGGACATTCAAAAAAACCCAAAACAAAGTAAATCAACAAAAAAATGTAGAAACGTTTCGTCTCTCGTCCGAGAGACTTCTTCAGTCTGAGGTGCTGTATGTGCTATTTAAGAGGCTGAGCTGAATACAGCACCTCAGACTGAAGAAGTCTCTCGGACAAGAGACGAAACGTTTCTACATTTTTTTTTGTTGATTTGCTTTGTTTTGGGTTTTTTTGAATGTCCAGAGGACCAGATTTAACTTTTTTAGACAGTTCTGTTCAGAAGTCTGAATCTTTGGTTTCACATCTCTGCAAAGCAATGAAAGAGGCTGATGGAGAACAGAAAATATACCGTTAGGCACACTGTTTAAAATGACTGGAATGCATCCTACATGAAACTCTACATTGTGCAACAGAAAATACTGAATACCCTTGCAATTTTAGTTCTGAAGGTTTTAGGTACAAAACTACTGTTCAACTTGAGGAACTTTAGTATTTTTTGCAGTCCATCTTAACAAATATTAATTCATGTTGAATGGGTTGTACTGAAATGGTAAATGGACTGTACTTACATAGCACCTTTCTATCTTATTAACATACTCAAAGCACTTTACACTACAATCTGCACCCTCATGCACCCATTCATACAGCACTCTACTATACAAAAAATAATCAGTGCTTTATCAAATTGATACACCAATGGGACACACACCGGAGGCAATGAGGGGTTCAGTATCTTGCCCATGGACACTTCAATATGTGACTGCTGGTGGAATCGAAACCCCAACTTTCACACTGGAGGGTGACCACTCAGCCACAGCTGCCCACAAATTAAAGAAGAACAACAACGCTTGGGTACATTGGTGCAGCTTTCTAAACAAAGGTTTCAAATATCTGGATATGGGTAAGAGAGCCCAGGAAAAAATAAATAAATAAATACATTTTCCAAGTAACTGACTAAAAGGTTTGCAGCTTTTTTCACATGCAGTATTGTAAATAACAATTTAACGTGAATCAGCTGAAAGCAAGTCAGGTCTATATTAAAACTACTTCAAACCGAACCCTATTATCCCACAAAGGGAATTCCACTCATTATACCCTTCAGGGTCTGGGGAAGTAAAGTGACTGGAATTACTTGTTTTCTTTAATGGAATTCAAATAATTTGGCACAGCTCACCAATAAGAACAAGCTTTTTTGACTGCCAAACAACTATTCTTTCATTACTGATTATAGCTTGTTTTTAATAATTCAGCTGTGTTTTGACATTTAGTTGATATTTATTGTAACACTGTGCATACACTCATCTTTAGAATACTAATGCTGTTCAAAGTAATCATGTATAATTATAAATACTGATTTTTTTAACTTATGGTAAATATGAAAAAATACGTATAAATCATGACATTGTATGTTGTATATATGAGTATTTGGATATTCCTTCTATCTCTGCTATAACAAAATAAAATATGAACACAGACAAAGATAATAAATATGATTTAGTTTAGCTCAGATTTTCACCTTAGCTCGGTTTATTTTAGTTACTCTTGAGATTCTGGAGCTAGTTGAAAGCTCCTAATTTCCTATGGAAAAAGAAAAACAGACTAAAGGACAATGCACTTTAGGTTGAAGGGAGTTTATTTATGTATAAACAAATTAGGAAATCATCTGAATATAAGCCAATTTATAATTCACACTTATTTCGAGTGGCTACAATTACTCTGTTGTATACAACGGGGGAGGGGGGGAGCTACCCAAGGGTGGGGCAGGGGAGGAGAGAACGGGGGGGCGGGGGGGGGCTACCGAAGGGAGGGGGGGGGGGGGGGGGGGGGGGGGGGGGGCATCAATGGTCCCTGAAATCAAGTTTCATTGGTCCACTGTGACCTGTTCGGTAATTTCATTGGTTAGATTTTTTTTTTTTAAACCTTTTTATTATATATACTTGTAGTCTCATTGAGTCTTGAGGACCCACCCCCCAAGAGAGATGTATTCAATTCAAATTCAAAAATACTTTATTAATCCCAGAGGGAAATTAATTGTTGTTGTAACTCACCATCCTGGTTTCATTAAAGGGTTGTTATAGATGCTGATGGCTGTGGGCAGGAAGGATCTCTTGTAGCGGTCTGTCTTACAACGGATCTGAAGAAGCCTCTGACTGAAGACACTCTGTTGTTGTATGACAGTCTGATGAAGAGGGTGCTGAGGGCTGTCTATAATGTTCTTCATTTAATTTATTTTTTATTGGGCATCTATGCGAGCACCAGTGTGGGTCAAGGCTAAATGTTTTGGTGGCATGAAGCTAGTTAGCCCATCAAAAAAATTCCATAAATTAGCTGCTGCTTGTATAAAGTAGACAGGTACTTGGTGTGTCATCTGTTAGTATGTTAGACTGGTATATGACATGTATGAGGACAGCAGGACAGTGGTGAGATGTGCTGTAGGAGTGACAGATAGCTTCAAGGTAGAAGTGAGAGTGCATCAAGGAGCAGCTTAGAACCCTTTCTTGTTTGCTCTGGTGATGGACCAACTAACAGATGAAGTCAGGCAGGAATCTCCGTGGACTATGATGTTTGCAGATGGCATTGTGATCTGTGGTGAGAACAGGGAACAGGTGGAAGAGAACTTGGATAGGTGGAGGTGTGCACTTGAAAGAATAGGAACGAAAGTCAGCTGTAGTAAGACAGAGTACATGTGTGTGAATGAGAGGGATGCTGGTAGAACAATGAGGAGGTGTCGAGGATGTAGAGGAACACCACCTCCACTTAAACAGATATCATTCATGTGTTTGTGTTTTAAACTGTTAAAATAAGATGCACTTATTCCCTTGGGAACAAACAGACTTTATTTTACAGCTGTTAAACTCAGCCTTGTCAAAGTGTTGGCCACTTTCAATATGAACTCATTTCCCACGAAACGGACAGATCGTCTGAATGAGAGCTGTGGTTCATTTTGACCTCGAGGTGGGACACCTGCCGAGGAGTTTACTCCCAGGATTTTCCCATGGAGATAACAGTTTTAAAAGAAGCCTTTGTTTCAGAATAACATCCTCTTTTCAGGAGATGAACAGCACTTCAACTTCTTCCCTAGTGAGATGTCCGGGTAAGAAGCTTTTCGGCAAATGTCTCAGGACGAGAGAAACCTGCCATTAGAGTGAGATCCGAACCAGAGACATCAATCACTGCAGAGTGATAAAATCATAGCTGACTTCAGAGCCAGTGGCCGGACCTTCGTCCCTCCAACGGTGATCGGTGACTTTTGAGGACACAATCCGCCTTTCAGTCAGTCACCGGAGCCTCTCAGGCCTTGCTAGTATCATCATAAGCAGTTGTGGACATTCTGACAGTTTATTCTGGTGAGAGAGACCCTTCATTGCACTTTCTGGTAATCAGACATTCACAATAACATTAATTTAGATACACCACAGTTAATTTAGTCCAAGGTTCTGCCTTTTATAAAAAGTTACACTGGATTTTAATAATCAAATAGCCTTTGACACAAGGTAATTTTGTTATTAATTTGTGTATTAATTTTTATGAATAACCTTCATCAGAGTAATATTTTTGTAATAAAATACATAAAAATAAACTAAATTTGTGATTATTTTGACATATATGTGTGTGTTAACGGATTTAATGCTCTTTAAACACGAGCAAGAATTCACGTTTCAGTTACATTTGAGGGTAGAGACTGATTTATTTTCCTCTCCAAGAGGTGGTGCCCACTGAACGAGGTTATTTGCATAATAAATGCATATCTTATGAGCTTAACTCATAACTAATAAATTGTATAGATATCCGATCAACAAATCCCTCTACAAGGAAAATCAACACAACAATTCAGACTTTTCAGCCTGTTCACCTGTTCCTCTCATTGGTTCAAAGATACATGGATAAAAGATACAATAATCAGTCGGAGAGATTCAAGTTAAAACATATTACCAACATTTATTAAAGCTTTCAGCTGAAAGGAGACATTCTTACCCCAAACCAAAAGAGATACAACAAAAACCCAAGACGCGTCTGACCGGAGCTTTCAGGCTCTTCTGTATTTAAACACAAAAGCTCCACCCAGAGACGTGTCACAACATTCTTACAGTTCTTTGTCTAAACTAGTTCAAACGGATGTCTTCATTTCTTGGAAGTCCTTTTCTAAACTTCTAGAATTGCACCGCTCAAGGTGGCTGCATGATGGAGCAGCTATGTTACGTTCATTCTGAGTTACTGCTTTTGAAAACTTTAATTCCTCTTTTTTTATGGATGTATATCGCTTTTTTATGATGATGATTTACTTTGGTATCGGATGCTGAGCAGATGGAAGGATTTTTACTGAAACTTTTTACTTTTGGACATTTGTTATGATGCGTAACCATGGCAACAAGGTGTTTTTTTAACAACAAGTAGCAGCTGATTAACATCTCAAAAGCTCAAATATCTCAACTACAGCCCCAAATCCCACATGAGTTAAAAAGGAGGTGCCGTGGACAAATTTCCGTCAACCTGGCGATGGTGTTCGAGTACCTCACCACCGAGATCCTGGAGCTGGTGAAAAAATCAGCTGGTGAGGAGCTCTGCAGACTGCTAGGAGGAGTGACCATCACTCAGGGAGGAATTCTGTTCGGCATTCGGGCAATCCTGCTGCCCAGGAGGACCAAGAGGCCCGCCGGATCTGACAGCAAGATGGATCTGGGTGGATAGATCTGTGGCCAGATTCTTCGGCTTCACTGCAGG